TCTGGCTGCTAACATGTTCTTGGGTACAATTCCCTATTCTGGAACTGCATGGATGGTGTGGGTTTTTTTCCCAGTGGCAGGTATCCAAAGACCCTCTTTGCAATTTTACCTTCACATTTACCGCTGCCAGTCAACTGGTATGAGCAACATGGTTGGATTGAGTGAGGACAAGGCATAAACATAGCACTGGTCCGTTAAAATTACTTACCTGACTCAAGTCAGGTGAGTGGTTTGCAACCACTGGTGCTGGTTCACAGCTCTTACTGAGTTCCCAGATGTCTCGAGAACTTGTTTATACCAGGGAGGTTGTTTGTGTGGTTTGTAGGGAAATATTTAGGTTTGCATTTAGGTAGAATTGTTGTTTCATTTCCCCTGCTGCTTTTGGCCTTTAGGCCTTCACGTTCTCCTTCTATATCATAACTGCTTATCAGGCAGTAGTTCTCTTTGGTCCCAGTGTTTTTGCTGCTTTTTTAACAGGAATATGAAGCATTTTATTTGCTGTCTTTCCCATAATCGTTAACATGGGTCTTACAAAATCTTTGCCCTGTGTGTTTCACATAGAAACACAAATTCAACTTCTTGGTTGATGTCTTTTATCTCCTTGCATTTTCTGGATTTTGCAATAGACTGAGGACTCTCTGTTCCCATTTCATGTGTCTGTGCTAATAGTCTGATGGGGGTAGGAAATCAGGTTGGTGTAGTTTTTTTGCAACAGACATATAAACTGTAGTATTTCAACAGTATACACTGGAGGCATTGTGAGGCTGCCAATGTCTCTCCGTAAATGCTGTCTCATTGCTATTGACAATAATGAATTTTATTCTCTGATTTTATTAAAAGACAGGTTATATTTTACTCTGATGGCTTCTTCCCCTAACAGATGCTGTTTCAAATTTTCACAAAGGCAAACCAGTTTATGTATGTCTTTGTCCTGCTGACTGTGGTTCAAAGGCCTATCAGCTCTTCCTGTTTCAAGAGCAAGGCTCCCACCATAGTTACAATCCCCTGAACCTCTGCTGAAGTTGATTCAAGGTAAGTGTGGCTGTAGTTACCACTATCACATTGCATGTTTCAAGGTCATCTGAGAAACTTAGAAGAAATGCTTCTAGTTTACAACTCATAATGTGAACTGAAATTAATATTTCAGTTGTGGGAATAAAACTGTATTGCCTTTAACTCTTTAGTCAGTTCAGGTGTTTCAGTGATACTAAGTTTCACGTTAGTTTTAGTTTACCCCTAGGTGTATTTCCGTGACCTCTTAGCTAAGAGCTGAGCTTGTGGTCATGATCTCTTGCAACTTCTGTCCTATTGCATTCATGTCTGTACAGCAGCATTGCTACCATGACAGTGACAATGAACCTTCCCAACAAGCCTAGTGTATGCGGTGCCATTTGGGATCGATCCTGTGGCAGTTGACGCTCACCAACTATCACTCAGTATGTGTTTTGAGCCTGCCTACCTGCTAGGTCTCAGGACACAGCAAGGGAGATGCTTTCCCAAGTTACCAATGCTTGTCCCAGTCACCGGGATGAAGTAGTGCTTCTTTTTCTGTAGCAATTAAATAATTCTGTCCTGTTATATAGTGAGCCAGCTTGAATATATATAAAGATGAATCCTGTGTGTCTTCTGAGCAGTGACTACTTACCTACGTTCTGAGCTCCTGCTCAGTATATTTCTCCTGATATCTCCTGATAGCTTCCCTATCTCTCCTGATTCCTATCAATTAATTGTTCTCTTCTTTCCCCGTGCTTTTTTCCCCTTTCCTGAGTATTCTGTAAGGCAGGCGCTATATAGATGGATTTTTCTGTGCTGTTTCCTTATTTAGCTTCCCCACCTTTCATTGTCTGCTCTGTGTAGGTTAGTCATTCTCCTGGTGTGTCTGCTATGAACTGCTCATGCTAGGAATGCTGTGAGCAGGGTCAGGAGTCTGTGCTTTAATTGAAAGGAGCATCTTTTATTCTGTGCCACCTGAGGCTTCAGTCTGCATTCTTCTTCTCTTGAGACTTATCTAATGATTTTCCTTGTCCTGGTGATGTTATTATGGTCATGCTACCAAGAGTGTCTAATGCCGCTTGAGCTGTGGCTGTTGTTTTGTGTGGCAGCAAATGGAGGTAGCCTTGAAAGTTGAATGACACCCACTTTCTCTTTGACATTTGACTTAGTGTGGGTGTGTTGTTTCTGTCTCCACAACGGACAGCTCGTCCACCTGGGATATTCACATGAAGAAAGCCTTGCTGTACCCTGACTGTGTATGAGCTGCTTCATGCTCTTGCTTCTTCAGCATTATCTTAGAACACACGAAGCATGAGGTGAACATCTGTATGTTGAAGTAAAGTGAGGTTCTCCTGCTCCACGCTGTGAAAGTCCCATGTCTAGAAAAGGACAGGTACCCACACTGAGGTCACATGCTACCTTGTGAGGCACCCAGCTCCCCGCACATAAGCCCTCGTCACTTCAGAAGCCATGTGTACCTTGTTATTTGCCTCTTTTCTGCCAATTTCGAGTGACAGAAATTCACTCTGAGACTCTAAGGCTCATGTTTCCCTTAGCTATGGTACTTTCTGTATATTTTTGACAGGATTTTTCTTGTCAGAGATATTATGTGTGACCCAATGCAGAATAGTCATCTCTGAAACTTTTCCTTCTTATACCACCCATAAGCCTTCCTTCTGCATTCCTTCTCTCCTCTATTACACTCATATCTGTTTGCCGAAGACTATCCATGGTTTTCTTTTCCTTCTACACTTAACTTTTAGGCCGCTATAGGTTTCATCGAAGTCACATAGGAACTGGGGAGATGATGTAGGTGGAGCAAAGGAATTGAAGGGCTGCTTGCAGTTACAGCTTGCCACTAGCTTGGCTTAGATGCTGTGGCAGGATATGCCCACTTAGTGATCTGACCAAAGGCAATATATGACCTTCTATATACATTCACATAGATAGGAAACCAGTGCTGGTGCGATTGGTCTTTTCTTTTTCTGTAGTGCTTCAAGTTGCTAATCCTTTGTATCTATAGGAACAGAGTTAGTTCTGGCACAATGCTCAGGCAGAGAAGAGAGAAAGTGAAGGCAATATACAGCTTCACTGCTATGTAATTTTTTTTCTCTGTTATGATAACATAACAGCCTTCACAGTGTTACTTCCAGAAATTTCAACACAGTATCTGATAAGCACAGGTCATGCCTGCATTGCACCTCAGCAGCTCGGATAAAAAAGCAGTTTAAAACAAATTTGATCCCTGATTATTGTTGGCTGTCCTTGCATTGCTATAAGGGGGAACCTACATTTCTTTAAATTGCTGAGAAGATTGAGCTATTTATCTATTTTTTCAAGCTTTCCAGCAGCAACACAGAGGTTGCACACAAGCTGAAATTAAGCATTTTAAAAATCAAAACATGCTGAAATTAAGCATTTTTAAAACCAAAACATGCTGTCACTAGTGGAAATTTGTGGGAAATACTATCTTAATAACCCACCAACAGGCTTTGTCAAAAGCAGTGTGATATCTGGGCACAACTGCTGTGGTGGTAACTGTTGATTTAGGGGCTGTTGCAAGGAATGGTGTCAAGAATTGTTCTCTGGTGTATCCAAAATTTTCTTGAGCAGGTAGCACATTGAATCAGTCATGCCAAAACCTGAAGTATCTGCCTCAAAAATGGAAAACTGGCAACTTTAGTTAAGGGGAATTTGCACTGGAGTTTATGCTCAAGGCTTGTATTTTAGGTGTAGTAAAAAGGTAGCAGTAAAGATGTAGTAAAAGGTATTTACTTAGATTAAAATAACTCCCTTTTACCCCCTTCTACCTTAATGTAAGGCATCTCTTTAAAAACACTTCAACACTTCTGCAGTGATGCTACGCATATAAAACTTAAATGAAAAATGTTGATAGAGAGCACATCTAAATATAAATACCAAGTTTTTAATGGATGTTATGATACCTTTATGTGAAAAGGTTCACCTCTAACATCCTTTCTCCCTTTTTCTTAACACCTTTGTCTCCCAGTGCTGTTTCTGGTTGTAACTGCTAATCTCACTATGATGTCTCTCGTTCTTCAGAAGCTTAGGGTTATTTCCTTATGGCAGTTTGGTCTTACTTGTCCCTGTAGCACTCAGAGGTTGAACTTCCTGGAGCTTTGGTTTAACGTCAGCCATCGATCACAACAGAGGGTAACTGAGTGAAATGTAATGGTCTGTAAAACACAGGTCATGGGTGATGACGTACTAGTCCTTTTTTAGCTTTGAACTCTGTAAACCCTGTGGGAACCGGCGGCCTCGCTCCTCTCCCACTCCTGGGCTCAGCTTTGCAAAGCTGCAGAGAGGGAGGGGGAAATGAACCAAACCCAGCGCCTTCGCCCCCTCAGAATGCTTATCCCATTGAAAACTGAACGGATTGCAGTTCCTGGTCTTGGTCTGTCACTACAGCTCACACCTTCGAGGGTCTCTCCCGGGCAGGCTGTGCCCGGGAGCCACACACAGGTGTGAACCAGCCCCTGCGGGAGAGGCAAGCCACAGAAAGCCCTTCTCCAGGGCAGATGTTCCCCCGGGTCTCGCTCGGTGGCAACAGCCACTGCAGCTTTCAACTTCCAAAAGAGGAATGCCGCTCCCCAGCGCGCTGCCTGCGGTTTCACACCGCCCAGCCGCGGATCGCCGCCCATCCAGCCCCTGAACCCTGCGGCGGGACAGCTCCGGTGGGTGCCGGGAGAAAGAGCCCGAGTAGGCGGTGGGCAGGCCTCCGGGGCTGGCTGTACAAGGGAATGTTGTGACACAAAGCCAAAGCAGAAGCCCCGCTCCCACCGCCTCTCCTCCCGCACTTCCAGAGGCAGAGGCGGCCGCTAGAGGGCGCCGCCCCGCCCCGCGCACGGCCCCGGGGCGCGGTGCCGGGAGGGGCGGAGCATGCGCAGTGGGCGCGCCTCGCCCGTGCCGCGCGCCCCCGCCACCGCGAGCGGGAGGAGGAGGAGGAGGAGGAGGGAGACAGGGAGGGAGGCAGGCAGGCAGGTCGGGCGGCCCTCTCGGGTACCCCCGGCGGCGAGGGAAAGATGGCGACGCTGGGAGGCGAGTCGCAGCCCTTCCCCGCCTCTGCTCTGGCGGCGGCGGGTGGGGTGGGCGGCGGCGGCGGCGGCAGCGGGGCGCTGGGTCTGCAGGCGCCGCTGAACCGCGGTCTGGAGCGGGCGCTGGAGGAGGCGGCGCACTCCGGGGGGCTCAACCTGAGCGGCAGGAAGCTGAAGGAGTTCCCGCGCAGCGCCGCCGCCCTCAGCCACGACCTCTCGGACACGGTGCGGGCAGGTGAGCCCGGGCGAAGGGCCGGGGGCGCAGGGAGGGGGCGGCCGGCGCCGGGCTCTGCCGGGGCGGGAGGAGAGGGGAGACGGACGGTGGTTTAATCGCCGGGGACGCCCCTCCCCGCCCCCTCGGGCATTGGTGCCCCCCAGGCTCCCTGAGAGGCGAGCACCCACTCCCCACTCTTTCGTTCGCCCTCCCCCGGGCCCATCCCCACGCGGAAACCGAGCGCACCCCCGTCCCTCCGCGGACCCTGTGCTTTCTTTATTCCCCCCCCGCCTTGGTGTATGAGGTAGGTGTTTGCTCGCATATGGCTGGATCTCCGCACGCTGCTCTCCATCCCCCCCAGCTCTGCATTTGGTGAGGCAGGGCTGGCTCTCCCGTGGCACACTGGGGGAATGTCTGTATATGTGTGTGAGGAATTCTTGCTCGCACCTGTCTGTCTCTCCCTCTGGGGAATGTGCGTCTCTGTGCCACCCTTCCCTGACTGCTGAGGTTTGCGGTGGCTGTCGGCCCACCTTTGATTCAGCTGCGGGAGGAATACATATACGTGCCAAGGTGGATACCTGCCTCTTCTGCCCTGCTGCTCGTGGGTGGACCCGCCAGGCACGGAGCATGTAACCACATTAAGATACTCATGTGCCTCCGGACATGTCACCTGTTTGCATGCCATAGGTGGAGACATGTCCATAGGAACACGTTTCTCTGCAGCTACCCCAGAGAGCATGCTGCCTTTCACTAATGACACTTGTTCAGCTCTGGGGTTCACATCCACCCTTGAGTCCTTACAGTCATGTAGCCACAAGCACCAGCTCTATGCAGTGCTATCTTCCAAGGCAAATATGAGGAGAAATTGCAGTCTTCACAGGCACTGTACATATTCTGCAGTGGGGGACACCATCATTACATAAATCTGCAGGCAGGAGTGGTGACATGAGGTGTATCCATCCAGTCTGTGTTTACCTTGCCCTAACACTTTCCTTCCAACGTGGAAAAAGGCACACTTATTTCTCACCTAAGCAGACAGACACTGCTCAAAGGGTCATACCTGTTTTCCTGCCCCTGTTTATGCCAGGGCTTGGAACCTAATCTGTTCTTTACATGTGAGGAGGCAGAATAGTACAAACCCGCATTAGAAGAATATTTTAGAGTACTCCTAAGATCTTTAGTGTGCTGCCTCCGCATGCCCTTTTGTGTCCCCATTTGCCTGCTGAAGATAATTGTGTTGTAACAGCAGAGGAGGAGACGTGTAGTCACTTGTTCTTGTCCCACAAAACAGCAGGTGCTATACCTGCATGCAAACACGTGATAACATGAATCGCAATTCTTGACTACTCCTGCACATGAGGGTATTTAGGCCTTCCTTTATGTGGAGACATATGTGCTGACTGCATGCTTGTGTCTGTCCCAGGTATGAAGAACAGAGTATATGTCCCAGATGTGTGGTAGGTGTCATATGCAATTGTCATTTAGCTTTGTCACTTGGTTGCTGTTGCTGAGTGTATTTCACATTGGTCTGTGTGAACACCTGTATCATCCTACCAATAAAAGAGAAGTATGAATGAAACCTGATGTATGAAACTACCTTGAATTGATAGCGTGAGCTGCTGTGGTAACAGTTAGTTGATTCAGTAACAGATGTGAAAGGGGAGCATGGTGGTGGAACTGAATGTGTTTAGAAGAATGACTTTGAGCTTGTCTTCCCAAGCAAGACGTTTTATCTCATTGCTTTTTTAAAGTTGTAGTCTAGCAAAGACATGCCATGATACGAGATAAATAGTTTGGAAATCCAGAAATTTAGCTTGTTTGGTTTGATCTTATATTGATCCAAACTGTTGGAAAACAAAATTATGTATGGGGGAAGAAAATTGTTTGATTTGTGGTATGTTAGTATTTATGTGTTGTGTAAGTATGTGCTGGACAAGCATGAGCTGTGTGTGGTATGTGTGGGTAGTACCTGCTTGTTACATACTTTCTTGTTCTACTAATTTTTCTAGGAAAAAAAGTAGTCTTTCAAACATTAATGTGCTTTTGTCGGAGTTTACCTGGAAGACATTCAGTGTGAAATTAAATCTAGAATTGTGTTTCTATTCTCTTTTTATTTGGTATAAACAGCAGCGTAGAGCAGCCCGTGTCTCAATCTTGTGACAACAGCAGCCCTTTTTTTGTTGTCCCTCCTTAGAAGAACCATGTGTTAATCTGTAGTTACTTAATGTTTTTGTTTGTAACAGTGAGTTATAACTGTTGAATGGGAATTGTTTGCCTTGGGAGTTAAGTCGTGTGTTGATATATTTTAAAAAAAAGTCCATGTTTCTTTTCACTTGTTACATTGCATAACTAAAATATATAAACAGAAGAGATGCTTGGCTTAAGCCCAGATTACTGAAGCTCTTGGGGCAAACTCTTGATGGGAATTTTCTCTCTTTCTTCCTCTCCAGAAATGTGCATGGTATAAACCCAGTACTTTCTTGTACTGCTTGGAATATGTCTGTGCAGTGAGTGACTTATAGTTTTGAATGTGATGTGCTGACATGTCTCTCAAGCCCGGAAACTTTGGGTTTTGGGGTAGGGGTAGCCTTTCATTGTTAAAGTTTTGTTTGGTTTTGTTTTTGTTTGTGGGGTTGAATTTAGAAGTCTGAAGGGCAGGGAATTTCCAGAAAACTGAAACCATATCTGTATCTTGAGAGTGGTTTAGTATCAGAGACTGAAAATATTTTTGGATTCAGAAAGTAATGGTCTACAGCTACTCTCAAATAAAATATTATCAAGCTTGTTGTGAGGAAAGGTTCTGAGTGCTTTATATAGGTCTGAGGAAGAAAGAAGTGTTAAACTTTAAATTCTCTGTTCATGCATTTTTTTTTCCTTGAAGTTAAAAGTCAGATTTCCTCTAGCAATTGATGCAGTTATGAAAGGGACAGTTTGTTTGCCTTTAACAGCTGGGACTGGATCGTTTGACTTTCCTAGCTCTTATTGCAGTTACATTCTGTAGTAACTGCAGAGGCTTAACTGTACTTATCACTTTCTATTTGTGCAGCTTCTTGTTATGCTTTTTCTTCTGTGACTTTTCTTTGCATTAAATACATCTCTCTTACAGAGACATGATAGGACATTTCTTTCACAGTCTTTGAAAGTTCTGCCTGGCCAGATGGAACTTTCGGGCTGCATCTCTGCACACAGGAGGGAGTTTTCATGTTGTTCTGTACTGTTAGAAGAAAACAAAACCTCTATGTAAAGTGTCTTGAGCTTAGTCAGACGTTTTAAACCACATCAGTATGGATGCATTGCAAAAACCATTTCAAAAACAATAAACACTATTCTTATCACTTTTATTACAGGCTGGGTTATGCAGAAGTCAGTGGCACAGTAATCACATAGTTCTTAAGTAATAGCATGCAATTACATTCCTCCAAACTGCTGGGAATGCTGGAAGCATGTTCCTTTATAAAAGAGGAAGAAAAGGCCCCAAAGATGTCACTTAAATGTGTAACTGTGGCTGCCTGTATCACATCAACCTCTCTCTGTAGGCTTTGCTTGTATTTCTGAAGGCAGGTCCTCTGAACCTCTTCTGGTGAATACCTTCTTCATCCATTTCTGCTGACCGAGTTAGTCACACAAGGAAGGATTACTTGCTGCTGCTGGTAATGACATGGGAGAGAAGCAGTACATTTTTTAATCATATGCTACACTGTTAGAAAATAATTACAAATTGAAGTATTTGATTCCTAGTTTGGACAGTATGAAATTTTGGAAGGAATATATTTTTATTTTTTGAGCTTTAGAATGCTCACTCAAGAAAAGAACTCCTACCTGCTGTTTTTAAAAATGTTTCTAAGTGGCCTGTGCTTTCCTGGCAGTGCTGTGTTGAAGACACCTTAGATTGGCAGCATCTTTGAAATAGTTGTTTAGACTGTATCACTGTGCATTTGTTTTCAAAGTGATTAAAACATCTCAGTATTACTATGGGGATTGATACTGGTTCAGGTGAAATATGTTCCTTTCATTCCTCTTTGCTAATAATAATAATAATATCATCATTATCATCATATCTGATTTCCCATTTTTTCAAAATTAAATAACTTAAAATAGGGCTCTGAGCAACTTAATCTAGTCTAAGATATCCCTGCTTCTTGGAGTAGGATTGAACTAGATGACATTTAAAGGTTCCTTACTACCCAGACCATTCTATAATTTTATGCATATTAGATTGCCATAATTTATTCTCACTTATTTTCTCCAGCTCCTTTATTAATGTAATTCTTCCTTTGCTTCTGAGAATTCTCCTAATTACAGCAGTAAAGGTGCAGTTGGTTCCACCTATTCTAAATGCTGGTTGTACTGGGAAGGATGTCACACATACAGACTAGTTTGTTTGTGCTATGGCATGCTTTCAATATCAAATATGACCACCAAATGGACTCTTGTTTAGAATTTGGTTGTTATTTGGTCACTAGGGAAAAAAAGGAGATTTTATATGCCTCTGTCCTTTTTAAGAATTCTCTTTGGTTATTGCTGCTTTTAATAATTCATCATCTAGAATTAATATTTTGATTAAATTGTGGTTTTTTTTCTGATGAGGCTTTTGAGAGACATTAATTTTGCTTATTTTATCTAGACTCATATCAATTAAAAGAAGTCTTTATAAAGCAAAACAAAAGAAGAGAACTCTATTTCTTCTTCATGTTCAAAAGTCAGTCCCTTCCTACAGCCTTCCTGTGTTTATTTGAAGATTTCTAACTTAACTTATTCTGTTTCTTACACAAATAATAACTGTATCAGGACTGGAAGAGAGAGTAAATATGTTTATTATCACTAATGAATGAAATATTACCCTGCAGCCAAAGCTTATGGGATATAGCTCTGAAGGCTGAAAAATGAAGATAAATCAATTTTGTGTTCATTATTATGTATCCAGCAGTATATATAACATTATTGTGTATTTAACGGTTTCCAACACTACCTGATCATGGGATCTGTCTGGATATCTCTGTCAACATATTCTAGTTACTGAT